GGGGCTCGATCCCAGGCCCCTGAGATCATGACCTGAGCTGAAGGCAGAGGCTTAACCCACTGAGCCACCCAGGTGCCCCTTGCCCCCACTTTCTCAACCCTGTTCCATTTCATAAGATGCTCTCCTAATCTTACTAAGGATTAATGTGCTAATCTCATCAGTGTGAGATGTATTTTACTGGGAATCAGAGTCCCTGTTGAGCTCAAGCTAAAAGCAGGCAAGTCCAGTTGTGGATGTGCAAGCTTCAAGTGTGCTAAGAGGGGAAACATTTAATGGGTCTGTAGAGCTTCCAGGCCCTCAGAATATGTAGATCAGCACTCACATGATTAAGATTGCCCATGCGTCCTAAATTAAATCAGCTAAGCCAAACCTTCCTCTACTCTGAGGTCTGGGTGTTGCCTTGGTGCTAGAAGAAAAGTTTATAGATGTTGTCCTCCATCATACCCTGAGGCAACACCGAACATGAGATAATTTCATGAATAGTTAAAAAGTCATTCTGTTCATTTCCAAGTGCAAATGCATGAAGTACAGCCATTGATACGATCTTCCTAATCCAAGGTTTTATTTCCTTGGCAGCTGATCCTAAATGTTTTTAAACTATGGTTCTGTATTTGAAGTCTGTCTTATTGCTTAAGTCTTATGAACAGTCATATATTTTTTTAAAGGAATTGATCTTGTTGTGCAGGTTAATTCAGAATTGGTGGACCAGAAGAAAAGTACGACAAGAACGTGGACCCGAAAGAAAAATAAGTTTCCCACAGTGGGAAAAGGACTACAACCTTCAGCCCATGAATGCCTATGGACTCTTCGATGAATACTTAGAAATGAGTATGCAAATATCCTATTTTATCCTATTAATTCTAAATGCCAATTCTAGAACTCAAGCTGTATTCAGCTGGACAGGCATCCTCTATCATTGAAGCCAGCCATGTGGGGGAATTCTCCAGCTGAATTCAGAGGAGGGGAGTTTCTTGCTTTAAGTAGCTCAGTCAATAGAAATGGTATCAAAAGCCTAGGCACTTCGAACTCTTCATGACATTGTGCCCTTTCCCTTGTAATCAATCACCAGGAAACAAAAATTATTTGGAAAACTTGGTGAACCAAAGAAAAGGGAGTTACCGTGGCATGATTAATTCCCTCATTTAGCAGACATGTATTGAGCCATGTTATGTCCAGGCAGATACTATGCTTGCCACAAGAGCTACAAGAAGGAATAAGGCACAGTCCCGGCTTTCTTTTTTTTTTTTTTTTTAAAGATTTTATTTATTTATTTGACAGACAGAGATCACAAGTAGGCAGAGTGGCAGGCAGAGAGAGAGGAGGAGGAAGCAGGCTCCCTGCAGAGCAGAGAGCCCGATGTGGGGCTCGATCCCAGGACCCTGGGATCATGACCTGAGCTGAAGGCAGAGGCTTAACCCACTGAGCCACCCAGGCGCCCCCAGTCCCGGCTTTCAAAGAGTACATGAGCTAGTGGGGGAAAGCCAGAGATATAAAGTGCCCCAGATGCTGCAGGATGCATCAGTAGAGGGGATCAGGGGAGCAGCCATTTCTCTTGGGGAGGATGGCAGGAAGCTGGAAATGCTTAAGCTATGCTCCACTTATATTTAAGGACTTAAATTTGTCTATTAATCAAACCCAAGTTATTTATCTTGTATGTTGTACATGTACCAAGCATGTATTCAAGAGCATGAGCTATGGAACCAGATTACCTGGGTTCAAATCCTAGCCCTATCACTTATTAACTATGAAACTTGGACAGTTAATCTCTGTCTCAATTTTTCACCTCTAAAGTGGGGAAAATAATGAGAGTAACCATTTCATAAGGTCCTTGTATGAATTAAATGATTTAATCAATGGAAAGGGTTTAGAACAAGGACTGGGCTCATAGGATACACTTGGTACATGTTATTTGTATTATCGTTATTATTTTCCTGTTTTTATCTACCAGGGGAGAAAAGCTAACAAATTTGCTTAGCAAATATATTGAGTGTATATGGGTTGCTAGTTTGTTTTTTTTTTTCCATTTATGTTTAAGCTCTTTAACATTGGGGTAAAAGTGGGGTAGGGATGAGCAAGATGCATTACTTCTGAAAGAAACAGTTCTTTCTGGGAAAATCTGAAAATTAAAGGAGTAGTAGAATTGATGCTTAATGTTCTTAGATTGCTTATATCTTAAGTATCTACTGATGTTTTTGGAGTTCCAATTATAGAATGGCAGGATAATATAACTTAGAGGAAAAAAAATCAATGTAGGCATTAATAATAAAACTTAATAAAGGGAATTCATTAAGAGAACTAACCATTTTGAGGTATCTTAATAGCCTTTTTTCCCATAAAGAAGGAAATGAACAATAATGTTAGTATATTGAGTGCTTGAAAAGAAGCTTTTATGTGGTTAGAATTAGTAGTGCTCCAAATACTGCAGTATCTGCCGCAAGAAACAAATCTCAGAAACATCACAAGCAGACTAGTGAATCCTGTTTCCTTTCCTTCTTCTCATTTTATTTTCTTAATGAGTTCCCTGCTTTGTTATTTATATTTTTAATGTAATCGTTGAAGTATGATAGTGCAGAAAGTATATAAATAAGTGTACAGATCAATAAATTTTCACATATTTACCAATCAATGTAGGTGAGAATTTTGCAAACTACAGTGCTCAGGTCAAGTTGAGTCCATTGTCTGTTTTTATAAATAAGGTTTTATTGGTTCACAGCAATAACCAATTATTTATATATTATCTGTTGTTGGTTTTACACAATAATATAGTTGAATAGTTTTGGCAGAGACTGGTCTACCAAGCCTATAATGTTTACTGTCTGGCTCCCTAAAGAAAATGTTTGCCTTTCTGTATGGTCAATCAAGAAATAGGATATCTAAGAATCTATCTATCAAAGAAGATTCTTTGACTCAAAGAAGGCTCTTTGTTTTCTCTCCAAGTCCTAACATCCTCACTAATCATGCTACTGATTTCTAACACCATAGATTAATTTTTCCCCTTTTTTATCTCCATGTGAGTGAAATTGTACAATACATACTGTTTTGTAACTGGCTTCTTTCACTAAATATCATATTCATAAGATTCTTCTACACATAGTAAACTTTATTTTCATTGCCATATAGTATTCCTAGAATGTATACCTGTAGCAAAATTATGAAGCTGGTGGGGTTTCTCTTTTAGTATATGTGCTGCTGAAGCAAGCACTGGAGTTTCTCTTTGATACTGATCTCCATCTTGCAAATGTGGTTGTTGGTATGTGTGTGTGTGTTTGTGTGTATGTGTGTGGTGTGTTTTGCATTTCTACTCCCAGATACTCCCCAACTTTCTCTTCTTCTCCCCACAACACACAGACCCCACCACCACCAATCCTTCAGTCCTCCCTCATATAAAATGCACCTCATGAGTATGAAACTTCATGAGCACTCCTAAGGATAAATGTGCTAGATAAATGCTCTTTAATAGGAATCAATGCCTCTGTCAAGCTTGAGTCCAAAAAAAGGCAAATTTACTTGTGGAAATGCAGAGGTCAGTGGGCCAACAGATGAACTATTTTGTGAGTCTACAGATCTTCTAGGCTCCTGAAAATAGGTAGGTGTCATTATTTATCTATCCATTCTACGGGTGATAGACATGTGGCTTATTTCCAGGTTTGGGCTCTGACAAATAGTATTGTGAACATTTTTTACATGTGATTGGTTAACATATATGCATATATCAGAAGGGAACTTATGGAGGGGTGGACTTAGTAGGCCATAAGATAGGCATTTGTTGATCTTCAGATACTTTCAGTTTTCAAAACTGGGTTGTACCAATTTACACTCCAACCAGCAATCTTAGAGCTTCAGTTAATTCCAAATACTCACTGAAACTTGTTAGGTCTTTGCAAATTTTAGCCACTCTGGTTGGTACATAGTAGTATCTCGTGATTTTAATTTGAAATTTCATGGCAACTAGTAATGCTCAGCACCTTTTCATATGGCTATGGCCATAAGGCTATTTGATGTTTTTGTGAATTCCCATTTAAATCCATGTTCTTGTTTTGTTTGTTTCTTTTTTTAGTGATTTGTAGAGGTCGTTTACCTATTTTGGATACGAGTCCTTTATCCAATAGCTATGCTGCAAATTAAATATCCTTTCCTGGTTGGCTGCTTGACGTCTTACTCTTTTATTCACTTTAATACACCAACGTAAAACTTTCAACTTCATTCTTCAGAATTGGTTCCCTATAACTTTTAGAATCAGATTTCTAATTTCTATACATAGCTCACTTTTCTATTGGGATTTTCTTTTCTCATTGATTTTTTTAAGACAATTTTTTTTAAAAGCAGTTTTAGGTTTACCACAAAATGGAGAAGTCCTAGGATTTCCCATATGCCTCCTATCTCCAACCATGCATAGCTTCCCCATTATCAACATCATTCACTAGAATGGCACATTTTTTTTAAATCAAGGATAAATTTACATTAACACATAATCACCTGAAGTCCAGAGTTTACTTCGCACTTGGTGTTTTACATCCTGTGGGTTTAGACAAATGTATAAAGACATATATCTATCCTTATAATATTAAATGAAGTATTTTCACTGTTCTAAAAAGCCTCTGTGCTCTGCCTACTCATTTTCCCCCCAACCTTGCCATGTTCATACCTTTTGTCAGGTTAAAGCAGTTTCCTTATATCCCTAGATTGCAGAGAGTCATCATGAATTATAATTAAATTTTATCAAATCATTTTTCTAAGTCTACTAAAATGTGAGTTTTTCTTTATTAAATGTGGTGAATTTCATTGATGATTTTGTTGTTGTTGTTAACGTTGTTACAACAACCTAGCAAACTTGAGGAAAAAACTCACTTGGTCATGATACTTTTTTTTTCTTTAACTGCCAAATTTAACTTGCTAATATCTGTGTATAAGTTCATGAAACATATCCTACTACAGTATTTCTCTTTTGTAATGTTTCTTTCAGGGCTTGGTGTCATTGCTATGATGACCTCTGATTTGGATAATTTTCCCCTCTGTTTCTCTTCTCTTAAACTGTTTATGTAACATTATTATTTCTTGCATACATATTTGGAAGAACTTAGTGAGGTTGGTTAGACCTCAAATTTTCTTTGTGGGAAGACTTCTAACTAGATTTAATGTATTTAATAGATACAGGACTATTTAGATTTTCTGTTTCTTCTTGTATCATTTTGATAGCTGGTTTTTAATTGTTTTTCAAGAAATTTATCCATTTTGTCTAATGTTGAAATTTAGTGGAATAAAATTGTTTATAATACCCTTCTAATAATTTGTTATATGTATAAGGTCTGTAATAATATACATTTTTTTAATTAAAAATTTTTTTTATTAAATTTTATTTTTTATGAACATATAATATACTTTTATCCCCAGGGGTACAGGTCTGTGAATCGCCAGGTTTACACACTTCACAGCACTCACCATAGCACATACCCTCCCCAATGTCCATAACCCCACCCCCCC